AAGCGTCTCACCTCAATCACCAAACCTCCAATGAATTCACCGTTGATTGCAATATCCATGAACACATGATCATGCTGGAATAAAGAAAAAAAATTTTTTCACTCAATATGGAAAAACTTAAGGGTAAACACTCAATTGCTCTTCTGACAAAGGCTTTTTTTTTCAAGGCATTTCAAACACACCTTGTAATGGTCACTCATCAAATATTTTTTAAACATTCAAGATGTACAATGGTCACTGATCAAGAGAAAACAGTGGACTGAAAATAAAGTCAACAGAGAGAGAAATCATCTGAGACCTTATCCGTGCGTTGCCTGCTGTGCCTCAACTTTCCTTGAAAATAAGGTGTCCACATGAGATTTTATTAATTGATCACTGCCATTTGTATAAATAAATGAGAAGTTATGCGGAGAGATGATGTGCACAGTGCGGATATGTGAAAGAGACAGAGAATGAGAAAACACATGTGAGTTGACATGTTTCAGCATGCGTTCATTTTGGGGTTTTAGTCTGCATACATGTTTCAGGTGAGTGTTTGTGTACATGCATCTCTGTGCATGTGTGTGTGTGTGTGTGTGTGTGTGTGTGTGTGTGTGTGTGTGTGTGTGTGTGTGTCTGTGTGTGTGTGTGTCTGTGTGTGTATACCACAATGTTTTTCCTGTTTTGTTTCTAAGCTGACCTGAGCACCCAAAAAAAAGAGAATAATTTGAAAGGCAAACTAGACTAATAAAACTAATCTCTTTTGTCAATCACATCAGTTTTAAAACAGAGAGAGGGTGCATGGCCAATCTCCATGAAATGGTTAAAATAAAAAAAGAAATGAAAGAAGAAATGGGGGGTGGGGGGAGGTACCTTTTGGGAATTCAATTTGTTCTTGTAGGCTTCCTCTGTGAGTGTGAAGTATAAAGGCTCGGGTCTGTACTCCTCAAAATTGTGGTTATCCTCCGCCCAACCAATCAGATCATCTGGTCCTCCGATAAGCGTGCCATTCACAAAAGCAATTGCTTTTTCGTCAAAGGCCCAGGCTTCACCTCTCAGTTCCTGCCAAAAGTATGGTAGACATATGTATGTACCTCAGTTATAGCAAACAGATTCACACAACACTAGTTTTATTCTCATCAAAAATATTTTGGGTTCTTTTAAATATAAATTTTGTTAATACACGTATATATAATAAAACATCACTCGTACATAACAAACTTGTTTTTGAAATCAAAGGAGAAGCTTTTCAATATCCACATGCTAGGGTTTAGACCGATTAGGAGGAAAGCTACTTTAATTCGCTGAAGACGGGTCCGGGTTCCCGTTAAAAACCCGGTATGGGCTGTCAGTTTTGTGAGAGGTTTCCCATGGAAAATGCAGGATTGTTATTACCTCCATACAGCGTCTATATAAATGCCACTAAAAGCAAGAGATCTAACTTAGACATATGCCTAGCCATATGTTTAATTCCATAACAAATTTCCCGTAAATCGGTCTATAGCTTTTTGATCCAGAGCATTTTTAGTTAGGTGATTGATAAAAAAGTTTGTGTTGTAAATTGCAGATAGCATTTTTTATTTTCTTATTCATAAATTTCTTTAACATTGAATTTAATACCTTTTTTTCAAAAAAAGAGACAAATAATCTAGCACAGTTAGACACTTGTGCTCTGATATGTTTATTGTTCTTGTGTTGTACTTGATTGTGTCTAAAAGGCATTGCAGTTAGTTAAATGGTTCAGATTTTATATAATTTTGAAAAAAACCTTAAAATCTCCAGACTTCAATGCTTGTACATAGTAAAATCCATCAGCTTTCAGAGAGTTAACCCTGCACATAAAGGCCAACTTAGGCTGGGTGAGATAAAGCATCCAAGCACACAGATTTGTCAGTCATATTTTTTTCTCTTCACTTTAAATGTTCTGCGCCTCACACACAATGTTATCAGGGCAGACATTAAACTTGGCTGACTATTTCATTGTCTACTATCAGATCAACCTTTCTTTTCTTGCCAGAAGGGAAAAGTATTCC